TAGACATTTCAGAGATCAGTGCCCACGGGAAGCAGTGCTTCGCGTGGTGTCCCGACGCCACCATCTTACGGTGAAATTCAGAGTCAGCTGCATAATTTTATGGCAGAAGCTTAACGTAGAGCCATACCCAGGGCGGCAAGCGCCGCGATTCCGGCTGTCCTACCCTCTGACGTCACGTAACCTTAAGCGCGGCTGCTGCCACCGGCCGCAGATCATCCCAGCCTGAAGCAAAGAGCAAGCGGCTAAGGCGACCAGAGCCCACCCTACCACGACCGGGGGGGATCGGAGGGCGGGCGCTCCATCCACTGATGTATCGGGACGGACAAACGGACCGACAGGAGGGCCGTTTCTGTCCGTACCGCGGCGTCGAGCGGTGTCTGGCCACGAGGCTGGCTTAAGACTGATCCCGAGCCAGCCTGTTAATGATAATGCCGACTTACGGCGCATAGCAGGCCGAACATGCTGAGTTCGGCGGCCATGCATTCCAAACTAAGGCACTAAGTGCATGGCATTTGCTATACATTTCGACAAAAAGACCTGTCAATCTGGATGTCTGTCCTGAGAGGAAACCCCCAGTCCTGGTGCACGGGGTCGACTCTGGCCCCGATTCGGGGCATACCAGCACACTTCTGGGTCGTCGCCGGCTTCGACTGAAGGAGATGGAGTTGTTTCCATAGTCGGTCACAATGAACTTAATTCTGGTCTAAGCTCGTCAGGAGATACTCTGTTCTTTGAGGTTCATAAGCTCCTGCACCAAACAAATTTGTGATAATAAAGCCATGGCATACATTGCGTTTCATCTGTTGCACACATAAGAGCTATCAACACTTCCCAATCTTGGTTGTTGCTGACATTTTCTGCTTAGGCCGATCCATCGATGATTGTTGCCAAGGAGGTTGAGGAAAGACCACCCGCTAAACAGTTCAAAGGAATCAATTCCTACGTGGCCCAGAGCGAGTTAAGTTAATTCCGAAGTGAGTCCGACAACTCCACCCGGAGACAAGTGTTCCACCAGCCAAGTATGGTGTCTGTTGGGAGGCGCGATGTTTAGGCGCAAAACGACGTTCGGAGTCGACGACCCCTAGTACACCAGCATGATGCGTAGTGACATGCATCAAATCGCGAGCCGACAGTCGTTGCACATGTCGTTCGCACAAATGACTTATTTGCTGACCGCATGCTGGCGGTGAAACTTCATTTCCTTTTACGAGACATCAAGTGATTGTGCATTCACGAGACGTTCGTTGCCATGTGATAAGTTGTAATTTTTTGGTGGTCTGTTATTAGCGGTCGAGCCCTTCGCCACCTTCTTTGGGGCATACTCGTTACAGCTTGTCTTGGTTGCATGCACTGAAAGCTTGATGCAACAGCAGCTTGTCTGAAAACGCAGCATTGCTGTCACGGCACGCTGGGAGAACTGTTCTCCTGCATTAAAATACTAATGCATCAACCAACTTGTAAGCTCGAACATTCCGAACTCACGTGCGTTCAGCACGTGCCGATGAGACTCGGATTTTGTCCGGTAGCAACTTCGACTCAACTTTCAAGTCTAGCCAGGTCAGACAGATGTCCTCGAATCGGACCGGTCAGACAAGATGTCATCCTATAAGTCAGCTTATTAGTAGCTCGTAAGCGTCTCTGTGCTGGGAAATTACATGTTTAGTTGTCAGTAACCTGTCAGGACAGATGAAACAAATACACCAATGCAAAGAATTCACGGCATTGTTCGACGTCGATCAACTTACACGAAACATTGCGCACAACGGAGGGACGAGGTTTGAGGCATATTGCCACTTGGGTTCGAGAAATGCTCCTAAGGCGTCGTTTTTCACGAGGAAGAGGGGCATCATCCGCACCGGCGGCCGTGTCATGACCTTGTGTAGCGTGTTATTCCCTAGCATTATATTGTTAACAGGTGATGCAGGCCAACCGATCTATGTCTGACCTGTCCCGTCTAAGGATGTTAGTCTGACCTAGCCGGACTTGAGTCTAACAGCCTGACCTGTCACCCGGCGG